CCCCACCCCCCATGCACACAACCCCACCCCCGCCAGTTGGGTATCCTAGGACCTTACAGGGAAAGATGCTTCTCTCAAGAACCAGCTGAAATTCATAGATGAAAAGTGAAAAGCAGGAATCAAGCAAATTGCAGGGGCTGTGCCTGAGCTAGAATCAGTGCCATGCACTTTGGAGCTGATCCTACCGAGGCAGAAAAGGCTGCCCAACTCATGTCTATACAGTCTGTGTCTTCCTATTCCCGAGATGAGTTAACAGAGTCATGTTTTATGGATCATTTCACTCTCTGCCCTGGTCTCCAAGCCCCATTCCCTCGGTCTCCTTCCTACCTCCCTGGATCGACGACATCCAGGAACTTCTCAAACTTGGGCTCCGGTTCATCGTCCTCCACCATGGGCAGGTAGTAGTTGAGTCCTCTGAGGCAGGACCGGAAATCTCTGTGACTCAAGCGCCCCGTCAGATTCTCATCAAAATGTCTGAAGAAGAAAACCATTTTATCAAGTTCCATGGAGAACCAGATAAGAACAGAAACGGACAGTTCTTGTGGGACTGGCTGAGGCTTTAACGTGCCACAGGTCATCAGAGGGCTGAGTGGAGAGCTTGCCTGTGTTTCTGCACTATTTTTAACCCGGTGGATGGAGTAAAGACAGTCAAATGGGGAGCATGAGAGAAATTGCATTTTCTCAAGTCCAGGAATTCTCATAGACACATTCAAAGCCGTGACTTGAGGCTCATTAACACGTCTAGATCTTCATTTAAGATCTTACCAAGCCACACTGAGGGGACAAATTTAGTTATTTGGAGATTCATTCTGAATGTGTTGGAAAGCAAAGAACGGGTCAACTATGAAGATCTACTCACTTATAGGTTGTGCTGAACTCCTTCAATGTCTCCTCACTCACACCTATGGTGTCTCTGAAAGGAAAAGCATGAAGTGGCCCATGAAATGAAACGGAAAAACATCAGAAGGCTTGCCATGTGGAAGAGAGGGATGTCGGTGGATAATATGCTATTCAGATCATCTAGTTCAGGGCTTGGCAAACTATGACCCGTGGGCCAAATCTAGCCTGCCATTTGCTTTCGCACAGTTTAATGGGCTATGGAGGGTTCTTTACCTCTTTACGTGGTTGGAAATAATTAAAAGAAGAAGTGTTTCATTCAACATTAAAGTTGCACGAAATTCAAATTTCAGTGTCTATAAATAGAATCTTATTGAAACACGTACAGGCTCATGAATTTGTGGGTTATTAATAGCCCTTTGTCTCTACAACAGCAGAGTGAGTAGTTGCAACAGAAACGACATGGCTCTCCAAGGCTGACGCATTTACAATTGGTCTGTTTACAGGGAAATTTTGCCAATCCCTTGTCTAGATAATAATGCTGTCTTTGTTATCGACACCTCAAGCTGCTTTGACGTAATTAATTTATTTAGAAAAACAAGCGAATTTTGCTCTTCTGGCTCTCCACCTTGACTATTTCTTGCATTCTAGACATCTGAGACAGGCTTTTACAAAAGGGACTGTTTCCTGAAGAGATCGCATAAGAACAAGGGACTCTGAGAACTGAATGACGAATAGCTTCAGGGGGATGGGGCTCTGTCTCCTGTCTCAAAATAGATTCCCATATAAAAAGAAATCGTCATCCTGTGGGGCAGCAGAGAGAGAGGGAGAGAAAGAGAATATTGATTAGTCTGGAGATGGTGTGCCTACTACCTCTGAAGCAGCTCTTTTATAAACAGTACCCCAAACTCTAGCCCTTGGGGCTCACTAAGTTCCTGACACCCAGAACCACCCACACCCTGCCCAGCCCTGGTCACGAGTCCACAGTACTTGGCTTGGATCTGTTGTTCCAGGTTGTGCTGCATCCGCATTCCCAGCTGGTGGAGCTGGTCCCACTGCTGGGCCAGCCCGATGGTGCTGTACTTGATGTCCAGGACCAGAGCCTCTTCTAAGTTGTCTCCCAGATCCTCAATCTTGGTCAGCTGGCGCTTCATGGCCTGAATCTCCTTCTGTTTCCGCTAGCGAAGACCAACAAAAGGAAAGAGCGGTCACACAGGGTAGCTCCGAACCAGGCGATGGTAGAGAAGATTAAGAAGCTGATGGGTTTGGGTTTCCCCGGCCTGCTCCTGAATGATTTTCAGGCACCTTCCTGTCCTCTGTGAAAAATGAACTGCTCAAGAGGTCCACTTCTGTATTCCTCATTTATGCGATGGTGGGAAGGTTAAGTGATGGGACGTCTGTCATTCTGGACATCTGCCATATAGAAGTCTAAGAGTTAGCAGTTACGTGCTGCAGGAGAGAGGAGTAACACTTCCAGGACGCCTCGAGAGATCCTCTGCATTCAATCGTATTATTTTCCCATGTCAAATGACAACAGAAATTGGGGAATGCTCCAGATCGTAGGCCTGGAGCTTCTGTATCTGTTCTCCTTTTTGTTAAGTTTATTTTAAGTTTATACCTCTCTCAAAAATAGAGAGAGAGGAAAAAGAAAGACAAAGAACATGCATGTGCACAGGCACCGGAGAGGAGCAGAGAGGATCTGAAAGATCTGATGGGGACAGAGGATCCGAAATGGGCTCCATGCCGAGAGCAGACAGCCCCACACAGGGCTCAGACCCACGAACCCTGAACCCTGAGATCATGACCTGAGCTGAAGTCACACACTTAACCGACTGAGCCATCCGGGCACCCCGGCTCTCATTCGTAATCATCATCTGAATCATAATGATGTAGGCATTATGAGCTCCATTGTACAGATACAAAAACTCAGGTTCAGACATTGAAGTGAACTGATGTCCTTGTCCGTGAAGTGTCAGTCAATGGTTAGAATGCAAATGGAGGGCAGGGTTGGGACTAGAACCTTAAGCTCTTGACCTTCAGGCCCGGAAATTTACCTAAAAGTACTACTAGGGTTGCCTTTAGGTTCACGTAAAAGTTCTCCTGGTTTTCCTGGCACTCCTTGTAGTTCTGGCAACATCCTCAGCTGATGCTCAACATTACTTACTTTATTTGCTTCCAACTGGGATTCCAGGGTTCCCGTCTCTTTGAGCAAAGACCTAGTTAAGAAGCAGAGGAAAATGTTACTCATAAAATCAGAGGTCAAGGTTTCACCCAGACGGACTGATTCTGACAGCCTACGTTTCTCCACCTCCTTATCTTATTATAATGGCCTCTTCAGAATGAATTTTCACACCAGATTTTCATGAAACCAAACCCTTCTGTCAGCTAGCAAGTTGCTGGACAGATGAGAAGGGAAGGAAGGTCTGTCCTCATTCTTCTGTGCCTGTGAGAAGGCTGCCGTAGTCCCCCTGATTCTTACTCTGGGACATACCCTTAACCTAACAAGGGCAAGTCTCCCCCTCGGGGGGTACAGGGCAGGATGATATACCCTGTACTTCCTTTCCACCCCAAGCTTCCACTTAGGTGCCATCTCAATCTGATGGTGA